GTTTTCACAGACTCCTTTGTCAGACATTAACGTAGAAGAAACGATGCAAATGCACAAAGGATTTTTTTTTTTTTATTTCGACGCTTTTATTACATATTATTCTCTGTATTTTATATTACTCTTTAGATTATTCCTTTAGTTCTGTTTATCATTTAATTTCCTCTTACTATTTAATTTGTCCATTGTATGAAATTTCACGCATTCATGCAGTCAAATAATATTTCCAAGGGTAAATGTGTTTGAATATATTAGAATATATTCTTCATTTAAACGAGAACGGGGTGTTCTTAAATGATTATCGATAAATATTTCATCGTTCGATATGTGTCAGTGAGAAATAATTGAAAGATGAGAAATAAATCTCGGTTTCGTCCTTGGATCAGGTCTTCGCCCTTCTCTTAAAAATATAAATAGCCACGGACGGGCTAAGTCGATCTCTCTGTGCTATTCTATCAAGTTCGTGTATGTTCAAATATTGGTTACTAGTTAATCCTTTAAATGTAAAATTGCTTCCAAACTTAGCTTGCTTTTTCTATTCTCTGTTTCGTTTACTAACACAACACAAAATATAACAGATATTTTTATTCAATTGAAACATCTTTCGTATTATTTATATAAATAAATTTTGTTAAATGAAAATTTATGTATACCTGTCAAGGAAGAAGAATTATAACAAACGTTTATAGCCATCAGTTTATTTATTAATTGAAATTGTACAAATTGTGAAAAACGATGATGTTTCTTATATTTATATTAATAATGATTCCTCATAATTTTATTACACTTTATTTATTCCAAATAATTTCTCATAATATGAAGATTTTATTTGTCCTTATGATCTGACTTTAATCAACAAATTAATGAGACCTCAACTGTGACTATTTAATTAAAGAAACGATAGTAATTGACACTTACGATTGAAACGAGGGTTAGACAACAGCACCCTATCGACCTCGTTCGACATTTCGTAAGATCAATCAAGAATGATGTCAGCACTTTTCGAAGAAACTTTTTGACCCTGTTAGATAACAAAAGCTTGCACGTTATACTCTCGTGAAGATCAGTCGTGGCCCATGCAATATTTCCACAAAATAATATTTGCACATTTCAATACTACCTGGCCATAGAAATTTTTCTAATTTATCATACAGTTATTTGACACGTGATGTCGAATTTATTCACCGGAAATGTGGCAGGCTTGGGAATTACTCGTGTAATATATTTCAGAGATGATGAATCTTGTTTAGATGATTACTAGACTTTATTTGCTATACTTACACTATCACGATGTTGGAAAATGATCTTTCTCTAGATCGTTTCATTGCTTGCTCATCAAACGAAGCAACTTTTTATTTGATCGTTTATTTAGATAATAATTTCTCAAATGTTCTCTAATTCTTCATTTAGTTACAGATTTCTGTTGATAATTTGTTATTTTATTCGAACAAGAATAAAACTTATTCTTCGGCGTGTTATTTCTAAATTAAATTAGATGAACTAATACAGTATTCCTATTATTTTTTATTTCGCTCCAAATGAAATGTACTCAAGCCTGAAACGTGCGTGAATCTCGAGAACGGAAAGCTGCACGAAGGATAACGGAAAATCACGTCTAAACATAGTTTAGGCAATTCCTAACATTCCTGGTGTTCGTCGTCGGGCAAGAAGAAACGAGAAAAGGAAAGAGAACTTATCCAAGTAAAAAAAAAAAAAATAAAAGAAGTAAGCGCGAAATAAGAAAAAAAAAAAATTAAAGGAAATTAAACAGAAATCGAGAAACGAGATAGGAGCGAATGTTTAAGATTCTGAGAGATACTGCAAGAAGGGTAAATGCTCGAAGAAAGTCATGGTTCTGTCTATATTTAACTGTATCTTCCACTGATACTGTTTTTAAGTAGAACACGTCTACGAACTATCAACTATGAAGTACAGTTTCCTTAGGTGATCCTTTTCAGAGGAAGAACTTTGGATATTAATTTTATTAAACGTCCAAGCCATTTCAAGTTATATTTTTGTTAGCATTTACTTCTTTAAATTCTAGCAGAGGTCTCGCGTTTATCAAGCGAGTCAGTTTAATTTTATACAATTTTATTTGTAGATTATACAGACATAATCATTAGGTCGACGAGCCTCAAAATTTACGATATGCAAATTTTTCATTCGCATCGCTGCAATATTATTTGCATATCGTAAATCATCTAACGTAAATATATCGTACAATGATTGTATTTGACGATGATTGAAATTACTAAATGAATTAATATACATACTGGCACATATACATGGCTGTATATATGGATGGATGTAAAATGTGAAGGGTTTGTCACGCATTAAAAGGCACGACCCCCGACGCACGGCTTCTCTTGTATCATCGCCAGGGCTTCCGATCAATTTGACATAGAGAATTTGCTGGTTCTGTGGTTCAACTTGACAAGTTGAGCGATTCAAAAGAATTATAGTTATACGGTTATCACGTAGCAGCGAGGAGCGTAACTGTACCACTAACGATGAAAAATTGTGTCTTATACTATACTTTAAACTGTTGTAACTTCTTGTGAAAAAATCTTTTATAACGTTCCACTTGGTCTCGTTTTAAAGCGCGAAGCCTCTACATTGACAATCCTGAGTTCGCATTTTTTTTCTTTTTTTTTTAAGGGACTGAATTTAGAGATTTATTCCAATCGTTACGCGTTTTATTATCCTCCGTGGATTGGAAACGATTATTCTACTGTTTTCTGTTCCATTAAAAAGATGTTCCGCTCGTGTTTGCGCTCGATTTAATCGAAAGTTATTCGTTTAAATTTTACTCGAGCAAACCGCTTTATAATCTGCTTCCTCACGTGTGCTTTTCATTTATCGAAACAAATTAATTTTTACAATGAAATCAGCGCTGCTTTAATGTTGTCGGCTATGATTATTTGTTTCGTTCGTGGATGTTTATCAACTAAATGGAATAATTAGAAGTCTCTCGGTAACGAGGTAGGATAATATACAATGCCATCTGCAGAGTTATATTTCGTCTGTCATGTTACGTTCATTCTACTTCGCATAAAAGCTGCATACTCAATTTAATGCTCATACAAATTGTAAGTACTTTTGTAACATTCTGTAGATTATTTTCTTTTTAAATTCGTTATGAAATAAATATAATATACAATTTGTTAATTTATTTATGTATTTCCAGTTTTCACTAATATAAAATGAACACAATATATCTATTATCTTAATACAACGAAGAAATTTTCATTACTAAAAATTAAATTATAAATTATAAAATGAGCTTGAATGATATTCAACTTGTTACAATAAGTCGCTTACCATAAGCTTGACAAGTATCGTTAAAAAAATCGAGTCGAGTATATTACGATTTGTAACGTTAATTTATCCATCTTCGTATAATACGGAAAAATGTCGCCAATAAAATTGAAAGTTAAATTCACTATTGAATTGAAATTGAATTTCAACTTCGATTTGTCAACGAATTATTTATCACAAATTTTTGTTACAGTCAATAGTCAACAATCAATATATATAATCAACAATTGCAGCACGTTAATCTAATTATTCATATCTCTGCAGAGAATAAGAAAACGAATGTCTCTGTTAAAAATTAAATTTTACCTTTTTCAATAACAATTCATGCAGGACGGATTTATTCAACTGCGAGATTCAGTCAACTGATTTATCGTTATTTATGCTTGTCGGTGCATGCTTGTTTTCTAAACGGCTGACCGCTGGAAATGGATTTTCACATAGAAAAGATAAAATAACAGTAACAGAGATGGGAATAAAGAGTGGGTGCAGGATGTGCGATCGATTGCCGGCTACCGCGGAACCACGTGACGGGGTGCGGTATTCGTGACGTCATGGAACTCCTGTTTCATTCGTGCTATCGACATACTCGTCTCTCTCTCTCTTTTTTTTTTTTTTTTTTTTCTTTATATCCATTGTTTATTCAACGTTTAATTGATTTAAGACTCTATTTATCCCATTAATCTGCACGTATAATGAAAAAGAAACATCTCGTTTTATTTTATTATTTCACTCTACGTGTAAAGTGTTTGTTCCGTACAAAATACTATTTTTTAAAAAAAAAACACGCATCTTTTTATTTTTTATTTTCTTATGTATTTACTACGTGATATCACACTGATTTTTCACTGATCTTTCATTCGTTAGATATTCTTGCGGAAGAATGAAGGAAAACTATAGTACGTGTAAATAACAATGGGGGGAGTGTAACTAGTCCAGTCACAAAAATGTATTATACTCAATATACTACTTGTATTAGTAATTAATATTCAAGTTTAAAAAAAATCTGGTTGATCCCTCTATTTTAGACTTGTATGATTATTTTTAGATCCGTAGGCTAGATATAAGTTATCATAAATTCAGATGCAGCCTTTCATCTTATTAATAGAATTGATGAGTCGACGTACGAGTGGAAGACAATTCTCGATTTCTTAACCTTCACCTTACGTTATTCAACCCTGAACCATCCTCACTTTACGAAGCCAACGTAGTGCAACCTCCTAGGTAGTTATGCATCATGTTATAAGTTGCTGGTTCGATCATTTACCCCTTCGATCTTAGATCGCGATAAAAATTAAACGACGATCGAAGCTAGATATTATACATACATACATTTCTTTCAATTTTATCATCTTCTATGAATCTAAACTACCGACATCGATACGAAAAATAGAAATTGATTGAAGATTTGAAGGGAGATCTGAATTAAATGATTTAAAATGTTGATGAATTTTCATTTGCACTAATAATACTTTGTGATTTCGTGTATTTCAGGTTTCCTGTCGTGGGATAAGGACAGCTGTCACGTAGATTTAGAAAAAGAATTACTTGCGTTGGTGGCACAAGCTCCCGAAGGAGAAGAAGCTAGAAATGGTATAAACCTTCACATTGTATCATTAAATTACAGACGACTAGTAATTCCTCTCAGATTGCAGAATTTAGAATATTCAATTTTTACCTTGTATTTGACATCTCTCGTGATTAGATGTAAAATCAGATAGATTGATATTTTATCCCATTGATCGAAGACAAAATTTTAAAATTAAATATGAAACTAAGTTATTCTAACTAATATAAAGTACAATTCTCCGTGGTCTCCGATTATATCCAGTCAAGAGTTAAAACAAACGATTATAATTATATATCTTCACTGTTACTTCCTATTAGGTCGTTTTATTTGTTGAAAGAAATGAATTTTCAGGCGAACGACTGATCCAATACGCTACCGAGAATCTTGTTACGGAAGTACTGATCCACCCGCAAACGAATACATTATTACAATGTATCCGTAATCTTTTGGCAAGTTTTACAAAACACCGGCATATTATACACGGTGGCTATACCTTCGGTGGAAATGGTTCCTGGATACTGCAAGTACGTGTGCTGATTACGCACGGTCTCAGAGTCATAATTTTTTATTTAAAATTCATTTTACTACATTAATAAATTAATAACTTATACTTTGTCAGTTATCATTTCTTTTTACTTGATCATTTATTCATTGATCAGTAGTCTTGATGATTTTCTATTTTGATAATTGAAACTAATAGTCACGTTCAAATGTCACGCATCCAGGATGGAACCTTCAGCCTTGCCGATTTCCTCGATGCATTTAGTGAACACGAGGTGCAAAGAGTTCTTCGTGCATACGAGAACAGCGTCACGGTGGACATTCATTGCGCGAGTGTCGGCGATTGGACAACAAATAGACTTTCCAAGGAAGCTTGCACTAGGTTTGTACTTCGTTCATTCAAGTAATATTTCAACAACGTGGTAGATTGTCTTCCAGAATTCCATTCTTGCAATCGAGACTTTCGATACATTCTCAAGATACATGTAGATGTTTTTTTCATTAACACTATTAAAGTGATGAAAATAATACAAATTTTAGAGATTTTATCTGAAAAAGACGTTCTGAAGATAACACATTCAGAGATTCGAGTAATTTTTTTGTCAAATATTTAAATAAAAAGAATCCTTAGAGATTTAATAATATATTAAAATTACAAATGCCTAAGAATCCTTAGTCTATCCATTAAGTTTTATCAATTTACATTTAACCTTCAATGTCGTGATCTTTTCATGATACAGATCCTGTCGAGTCAGAGTGAATCCCGATGACGTTCTCACTGCTGGATTACCAGCAATCACCAGTTTCACGAATTACGTTGGACAGTATCTCGTTGCCCAGACACTGGACCAACTTATGGAGCCGTCCGACGTCGTAGGCAACATAAGATTTAGTCATCCAACATTGTACGTCTTCCCCGGTGGTCAAGGTGATGCCGCGTTGTTCGGCATAAACGGTTTTAACATGTTGGTGGATGGTGGTTTCGCCAGAAAGGCCTGTTTTTGGGACTTTACCAGACATCTGGACCGTCTCGACGCGGTCTTAGTTACTAGAATAAATAATAGCAATGTCGGCGGTATGTCTAGTGTTCTCCGCAAGAAAAAAGAGATGCACGTCTACCCTCAAATCGGACATTTCTTCTGCAATCTGATCGTAAGTTGTGATTACATGCTCGTTATATGCTTGATCAACTTCGTTTTTTTAAATTGAAAAAAAAAAGAAACAAGAGAAACGTGATCATATCGGTAACATTAAATTAATTTCATAAAAAAATGTTTTCATTGACAAAAATTTAGGATTTCAGTTCGTTTCATATTTTACGTCCTTCGTGCCTGAGATTGGTGATAAACTGTTATAGTTCAGTTAAAAGTTTTTTAAATTACATTAGAATTTCAATATTAATCATTATTCAACATTGTTAATTTCTGATACGTGATATTGCAATATATTAATATTACATATTCGGTGTATTAATTCATTAGTATTAATCGTATGCTTATATTAACATTCTGTAGTTAATACCTAATAAAATCAACAAGAAAAAAACAAAACTGACGAAAAGATGAAGTTGTTCACCTTAGTCGTTGAATTTCCATAAAAGTGCGCGGTCTACTAATCAGACTTGCTTTCTATATGGTTATTAAAACTGTCGATGTTGCGTTTCCTTACGTAATAGGAGAGAAGACAATCCAATTCTCCGGACGGGGACAAAGATATCGATCCTCTGATACTGAATCTCACTGACATTGGCCAAGAGATGGTTGTCAATCTGCGTCACATCAGCCTGCGAGCGCATCCGTGCTACAGAGACCCGGACCCGATCAATCTCTATCACAAAGTGGGTCACGGCACGTTGGACATGTATGTGTTAAGCCCGAGCAAGGATAGTCGCGAGGTTCGCGAGTTCCTGGCGAAATGGCACACATCCGACTCGAAACTGTTCGCTGGCGGCCATAAGAAAGACTCGAACAATCTAACCTTCCCGATTCAGAATCTAGTCTCGATATGCGCTTTGCTAGTTTGGCAGCCAGCGAATCCCGAGGACACAATCACGAGAATACTGTTCCCTGGGAGCACGCCTCAGCACAAGATCTTCGAAGGTTTCGAACGATTGAAACACTTGGAGTTCCTAAAGCATCCTGTCTGCTCTGCGAAGAGCCTCTCGCCGTCCGCGTCCTTAGCAACCTTACGAGACAAGCCTGCGAAGCAAAAATTGAGCTTGATCAGTGAAAAGGAAACCTCGAAGAAGATAAGCACAGAGGCGAAGAAAGAGAAGAAAGAATCGCCGGAGATTAAAATGAAAACGACCGACGAAACGCTCGCGAAGACGCCGATCATCCCGACGAAACCGCAAGCTGTTAAAGCCGAGACGAAAGCTAAGAAAGTGATCGAGAACAAGAAGATAGAGGTGGAGAAAGAGAGCAAGAAGGAGAAAGAGGCGAAAGAAGGGAAGAAGGAGGTTGCGAAGAAGGATGCTGGGAAGGAGAAATCGGAAAAGACGGAGGAGAAATTGGAGAAACGCGAAGAGGAACAGAAGACAGAGAGGATAATTCCACCGGCGAAGGAAGCGAAGCCTAAAGAAACTAAAAAGAAAGAAGAGAAACAGAAGAGTGCTAAACCTCTAGGAAAGATCGAAACGAGGCCGAAGGTGATCGAGAAGAAAGTGAAACAGTCCCCTGTGGAGAAGAAGGATGCTGGAATGATAGTGAAGTCTTCCCCGACGACGCCAAAGAAAACCATCAACGGCGTGGCAACGAAGACAGAGATCTCGAAGGTGAGCGCGATGAAAGCGAAGACTCAGAAGGCAGCGATTGAACCGGCAGCGAAAAGCACCAAGGACGCGAACAATAGGAAGGTAGTGGAGCAGAAGAACATTGAAAAATCAGCTATAAAGGACACGACTAGCGTGGTCAAGGTGTCGGCGAAACCTAAACCGATGGACAGAAAACCGATTGGTCGTCGAGGAAAGCCAGTCAGTCCCAGCAAAGTCAAAGTGTCTGGAAGCCCGGCGAAGTCTACTCGTAGCACGCCAACGACTTCCGTGAAATCCGACAAAGACGGCGTGATTCGCAAAGCGAAGAGCGACAAAGGTACAGCTGACTCGTCGACCGTGTCCACGCCGTCCGGAATTGAGGCCGAAGCCGGCGCCAGACTTGTCGAAAAGAGTTTGATAGAACAGTCGGAGGACATTTCTTTAGACTCGATCGAGAGTAAGGTGTTGGCTGACTTGAAAGAGGAACGGGAAGTCGTTGAAGAGATCGAAGCGGTCCTTCAGAAAGCGGAACGTATCGAAGAGACGAGGAAGGACGATCGTTCCGAGGGTGACGACGAAATAACCGCGGAACTCACTGACAAGAAGGAAGAAGACATTACCGACGATGATATAATCGAGGCTGACATGGAAGACGCGCTCAAGAGGGAACTTATCGATGAGTATTTGATCGTCGAGAAAGAGGAAGATTACATAGAGGACTCGACTCAGAGCGGCGAGGGTGAACAGAAGCATATTTTGGACGAGGCTGAGTCTGAAAAGGTGAAGATGCTGAAGGATATGGAACAGGTGAAGGAGAAAGGTGCCGAGGAAGAGGTGGAGGAGAAAGAGAAGGACGAGAGCGTAGAGAAACGTGAGAAACAACTGGAGGAGAAAGAGGGAATATCCAAGGCCGAGGAAGAGAAAGCAGAGCCGATTGATTTGTCTTCGGATCGTAGAGAGCAACTGGAAGAGGAGGTCAAAGAAATAATCGCCTCCGCGGCGGAAACGATCCAACAAAAGCCAGAGGAGAAAGATGATTCTGGCAAGAAGGATAGCGAAGATATTACCAAGGAACCGTCGAGTTTGAGTCCCGATAAATTGGACTCCTCCGAGAAGAAAACCACCGATACCGACTTGAAACCTGAGGCTGACCAGAAAGAGCAAGTACCAGAGAAATTGGAAGAATCGCAAGAACGTATCTCGACTTTGGAATCCGGCGCCACGACAACGGCGCCGACACTTCCGGAGGACGAACGAATACCGCTCGACGAGATAAAGGAAGATATCGACGAGAAGCATATCATCGAAGAAGTGAAAGAGAAAGATGTTCCGAAGGTTAAGGAAGAGGTCGCTGCTGCTGCTTCGCGAATCGTACCTCCCACGGTAACTACGAAACCGGACGTTCAAGTATTCGACGTCCGTCAAGCAGTACCGTGTCTTCAACGTGATATTGTAAAGACACCGGATGAAGTCGCTGATTTGCCGGTCCACGAGGAGGTGGATCCTAAATTGTACAGGATGGAGGACTTCGAGAAGGACAAGGAGGAGAAACCAAGTTTGGTACAAGCGCGAGAACCAGAGCAACAAGTGCCGGCGCAGGAGGTGAAGGAACCGCCAACTCCAACTGTCAAGGAGCAAAAAGGAGTTTTCAGCTTCTTCGGCAAGGTAGCCGATAAATTCGAAAAGGGTATCGACAAGTTAACTAAAAAATCCAAAAAGGACCAAGAGAAAGATACCGACGACAAGTCTTCATCGAAGTCCAGCTCTCCGAAAGAGGCGAAGGTGCAAGAGAAGACTGTGCTCGAAGAAGTCGATGTCGAGAAGATGTTCCCGAAGGTTGGTAAACTTAGCGAGAAGCTCCAGGAAGCAGTTCAGCCCGAGGCAAAAACCAAGATAGAGGATATCGGCAAGAAAGAAATCGAACGTGACGTAACTGCAGAACTTGAAGTCAAAGATAAAGAAGCTAAACCAGCTGAAGAAGAAATTGTAGAGGAAAAACCGAAATCTCCAGTATCGAAACCCATTGAGGAAGAGAAAATCGAACTGAAAGAAGAAATAGTGAAACCAAGTGAAGCTCCGCCAAGTGTAGATGTCGAGGTTGAAGAGAAGAAGGAGAAATCACCAGAGATCGACACCAAGGCTAAGAAGGAAAAAGAGCTTGTTGAAGAAGTGGAAGAAGACACGGAAGAGATAAAAGCGTTGTTGGAAGAAGCCTCCAAGAAATTTAAGACGGTAAAGGACAGCTTGAGAGATTCTCTAGAATCGTTAGAAGAGAAGATCGCGGACGAAACGGCTGATCTGGTCGTTCAGGACGTTCCTTCAGTAAAGGATGTCGTTAAAGACACGCTGGAAGGCGTGGTGGAGAAATTGGAAGCGATCAAACCACATATCGAAACCGCGTCTTCCGATAGCAAAGAGCCTGAAAAGGTGAAATTCCATATACCGAAGGAAGAAGATTTCGAGGACGAAGTGCCTACGAAGGACGTTAAGGAAGCTGTTCGAGATGTTGGCGAGGTTCTTGCTGGGACAGCCGGTATTGACATCGAAGACAAACCCAAAGACGTTATCGAAATTGTGCGTAAGGTTGCCGAAGTTCTCAAGGAAGATGATTTCCTCTCGGACAAAACGTTGTTCGAGGAGCCAACTAAAAAGGAAGAAACTGCGTCGCCACCTAAACCCGTCATCGAAGCTAAATCGCCGCCTAAACCTGTCGCAGAGACCGTGTCACCACCTGAAGCCGTACTTGAAGCCAAATCACCCGAAGATAAATCAGCCAAAATTGAGGATAAGATTCCTGTTATACCGACGAAAGTTGGAATCACCGAGGAAATTTCTCCTTATCAGGAGGAGACCGAAGAACTCGTTGAAGTACAAGAAGAACCATGCGTCAAAGTTGTCAAAGAAACGGCGGCGACTCCGTCTCTGAAAGAAGAGGAAGACAAGCGCGACGCTAAGGAAATATGCGAGGAAATGTTGGAAGAAGACATTGAGAAGATTGTTCCTGAAACTGTAGCTGAGACGAGAGACGATTCGAAGGTGGACGTAATGGAAGCTGGATTGGAAGAAGTCTGTGTGAAGGAAACTGTGAAATTGCTGATCGAAAAAGACGAGAAAACTCAGGCAACTATAGAAGAGTCTGTGATAGGTTTCGAGCAGAAGGTCTCTCCCGGCAAAGCGGAGATTGTGATGGTTTCGCCTGGCTCGACGCCAACTTCACCGAAATTTGCTGCAGACAAAATGCAGGAGAGTAAAGTGGACTTGAGCAAGGAAATCGAAACCGGACTTAAATTGCCCGCTGAAATAAAAGCTATTGTCGATAAGGTAGATCGTATTGTGGAAGAGATAATTGAAGAACTTGTGATTAAGAAGAAGAAAATTACGATTGAGATTATAGAGTATATAACGATTGTTAAAGGTGTTCCAAAAGAGCGTGTAATTTATATTATTGAAGAGATTATTGTAAGGAAAGGCCTGTCGAAGGAAGATGTTGTCGATAACGTTGATATCTTAAAACTGGAAGAATCTATTACCCCGAAATTGAAAATGGAACTTGAGGAGTATATTATCAATGAGTATGTGAAGAAAGGAAAATGTATAACTATCGAAATAGTCGAGGAAATATCGATCAAAAAGATCGTTCCGAAAGTGATCATAATCCGTATCGTCCAAGAAATTATCGTCAAAAAGTTAATCGACGTTAAAACTGACGGTCTGTTTGATGCACAACTGGAGCAGATTGACACTGAAGAGAAGAAAGAGGAGGAAGAGAAAGAGAAGGAAGATGAGAGAAAAGAAGAAGAAACAGAGGAGAAAGAGATTCCATCGAAATTAGATAAAAAGGAAGAAAAATTATCGCCAATTGAAACTATCGTGAAATCAGAATCGAAATCTCCTGTGGAAAAAGAGATCTCGGTGGAAAAAGAAACAAAATCACCTAAAGAAGAAGATCTACACAAAGAAAAACTTACCGTGGAAGAAGAAACCGTTTGTTTGCCAGCTGAAGAAGAAGAAGAAGGAGAAGAGGAAGAAGATATAGAAGAAGATGGTTTCGTAAGTATTAGAAAGTTTTCTAAAACAGAAATACAGCTAGGCGACAAGGTAACAGCGCCATCTGCCAAACCGGACACTCTAAAAGAAGCTATAGACAAAAGACACGAGAAAGATATTGGCGACGACTTTGAGGCTGTTGAACAAGAATATAAAGTGCGTGACGTGACTGTTACTTCGCTGGAAGACACGTCTCGTGTTATTTCACCAAAGTCAGACGAATCAAGGGAGCGAGAATACGCAGAAGAAGCTGTAGAAGATGTGACCGTAAGCGATGTTATCGAGGCTGATGAAAAATTCGTTCACGAAACGAAAGAGAAAGCCGAGAAGAAAGAACTACCTCTCGATGCAAAACCAGATAAATTGGATAAAGAGAAAGTAGAAGTGAAAGTAACGGAAGCAACAGAGTCCATTGATACTATAGAAAAGTACCTGGATGAGGCTAAAGAGAAGAAGGAGCAGAAGATTGACGAAGTAGCAGCGAAAGAATCACCTGAAGAGAAAGTGGATATAACTACAGTGGAGAAAGAGAAGAGGAAACGTTCAATCGACGAGTTGGAAAAAGATACAGTACCCGAAGTTAGTACGAAAGAAGCAGAAAAGATTGAAGAAAAGGAAGAATTGAAACCAGCGGAGAAGAAGGAGGAAGTGAAGCCAATAGAAAAGAAAGAAGAAGAGAAGCCGGCAGAAAAGAAAGAAGAAGAGAAACCGATAGAGAAGAAAGAAGAATCTAAACCTGTGGAAAAATTGGCTGAACCAGAATCTCCTGTTCAAAAAGAGGTCACTGAAGAAATTAAACCTGTCGAAATTACAGAAACAAAAGAGGAGAAGAGAGAAGAAAAACTGGAGGCAGATATCGTTGACGAGGAGAAGAAACCTGAAATACTCGAGGTGGAACGTAAGAAGAGCGTTGAAGAATTTAAGGAAGAAGCTAAGAAGGATGAGAAAGTATCTCCGGAAGTGGACAAGATCGAAGTTGAAAAGAAGGTCGAGAAAGAAGAACCGTCTAAAGAAATACCAGTTGCAGTGAAAGAAGAGAAGGTAGAAGAAGAGAAACAAGAGAAATCACCTGAAGAGGATACCTCAACTGTTCGAAGGATGTTGGTCACAGCAAGCAGCGAAGATGGCGGTCAAGAAACTGAGATTTGCGCAGCCGGTACTATCGCGTTTCAAAAAATTGTTACACCTGACGATTCTCTGAAGGATGTATCCGTCAAATCAACACCTGACAAAGATTCGTTGCTTCTAGATAAGGACTCTCTGCACTCAGACATCAGCACACCAGAGAAAGACAGTATCTCTGACAAATCACCATCGATGAAAGATGTTGGAAAGGTAACTCCTGAAGACAGTTTGGATAAATCGCCAATTGACAGGCGTGATTCGCGCGAACTGGAAGACAGTTTAGAAAAAACGGTACCTGGTAAGCCAAAGGAAGCGGACAGCAGCACTTCTCCGTCTATGATAGAACCGGAAGTTCCAAAGTCTCCAAGTTTGCAAGAGCAGAAAGAAATTCTTCAGGATCTGGTTAAAACGGCCGGCGAAAAGGTGGAGAAAATCGAACCTGCCGAGCCATTTGCTGACAAAACAGAGAAAAAAGAATTAGACACGAAACTGGTTGAAGAAGCAGTTGAAGAAGCTTCAGAGAAACCGACGTCGATTTCAGAAATATTGGAAACTGACGCAGACATTCGTAAGAAAAGTCTCGATATCACCGCGTCGAAATCAGCCGAGTCTCTTCGATCGGAGGACATCTCCCCGGCAGAAACTATTTTCGCGAAATCGCCCACGGACAAACGAGAAGAACAAACGAAGATCCCTGATCTGAAAGATGAGCCTGTAAAGTCGATGCTTGAACTGTTTGAATCTGAGAAGAAGATTGGGATGCCAGAAGATTTGAAAGCAGATGTGACTAAAGGAGTGACACAGGTTGACAGTAAAATCGACGTGTCTGTAAGTGAAAAAGAAGACAAGAAAGAGCCTCCTGGTATTTCACCGAAAAAAAGTCCTGAAGAGAGTCCTGAAAAAAGCCCTGCAAAGAGTCCTGAACTAAAAGAAAGATCAATTACTGAACCTACCAAAGCAGAAAAGGTAGAATCAATCACAGACCTTAAATCAGCGGCTGATCGAGACAAGTTAGAGGAAAAAGATAAATCTCCCTCTCCGGCCCTTAGTGACAAAGATTTGCAGGAAATAAGAGAGGATGTTGCGCCCAGCGTTAAGTCGCAGGATATTACATCTACCGACATTAAACAGACTGACCTAGTTGTTAAGGATAAATCCCCAATTGTAGATACAGATCAGATAAAATCAGAGCCACTAGAAACTGTTACAGATGTGAAATCTCCAACTTCAGAGAAATCAAAATCTCCCACTCCAATAGAGAAGATTGAAAAATCTGATGTCACTATTGCGGTAATAGAAAAGAAAATCGAAGAAGAATTAGATATTTCGAAACGTCCGGTTGAAGAGTCAGAAAAAGAAGTGTCACCGGAGAAACCAAAAACTCCAACCACAAGCCCCGTTCTCGAAAAGTTATCAAAAGTGGAAGTTTCAGAAATCCCTAGCGAGAAAGCAGGCTTGACAGACCTGGTAGAATCAGAGGAGCCTTTAGCATCAAAGCGACCTAGCATTCCTAGTGAGCTACATGAGTTTGACATAAAGGAAACAGACAAAGCTAGATCATTCAGTATAACGAGCGCTATCGAAGAGCTTGAGACTAGAGATCATTTGAAATCGCCAACTGAAAAGGCTGAATTATCCACCGAAACGGATGAAACGAGAGAGAAATCGAAATCACCAAGCATTTCAGGAGAATCGAAGGATTTGAAAGAAGTTGAAGAGAAGCTTGACAAAGTTACGTCACCTCGACACGTCGATGCAGAAGCGAAAGATGAGGCAAAAGAAACTCAGAAGTCTAGATCTGCCAGTGTCGCCAGTGTAACAAGTGTTTTAACCGAACCAAAGGATAAATCTAAGTCCCCCAGCATTGCTGGGGAGACTCCTGACTTGAAAGAAGTTGAAGCAAAGGATGGCTCGGATAAGTCCAAGTCTCCAAGTGTGACCAGTGATATACCCGACTTAAAGGACGTGGACGTCAAAGAAACAGAGAAATCTAGATCTCCCAGTGTAACAAGTGTTCCAGTCGAGGCAAAAGAGATATTGGATAAATCAAAGTCTCCTAGCGTAGTCGGTGAGACACCCGACTTGACAGATGTTGAAGCTAAAGAGATAATAGAGAAGTCCAGGTCTCCCAGTGTCACAAGCATACCATCCGAAGGAAAAGAACCATCGGATAAATCTAAATTGCCTAGCATCGCTGGCGAAGAATCCGATCTAAAGGATCTTGAGCCGAAAGATACTGAAAAGTTTAGGTCTCCAGTGGAAGCAAAAGATACATTGGATAAATCAAAAACACCAAGTGTTGTTAGCGAGACACCTGATTTGAAGGAAGTTGAAGCAAAAGACATTGAGAAATCTCCCAGTGTAACGAGCATTTCAGCAGAACCGAAAGACAAGTCAAAGACT